GTTGGGTTTTGGGGGGGGGGGGGGGTGGGTGGGGATGGGGTGGTTGTATGGTGGATCTCAAGGGTGGTTGTATGTAGAGAGAGAAAGAGAGAGAGAGTAAATGCGGGGAAGGGGGGTGGCCTGAGGTCGGTGGGGTTGCTGGAGGAGCGAGCATGGAGAGAGAGAGAGAGAGCCGGGTGAAGTGGGGTTGGCGATTGGTTTGGTTCAATGGGTCCCAATATATTTTTTTTCTCCTTTTTTTTTTCATTTTTTTTGGGGTTAATTTTCCTCTTTTTGTTCAATGTTTTCCCAAAAAAATAATTTAATAGAAAATGGGATGAAATGTTGGGATTTAGAATCAAGAGGTTTGGCCTTACCCCATAACTGGCACATATCTGTTTAGCTTTCTCCAATAGAGCCACCGCAAACTTCCTATGATTCTCCTGGGCAGATTCAACATAACCCGGAGCTGATTTCACAACAAGAACAATTTTTGAGAAACACCCTTGTGCTCAATAAACAAAAGAAAGTAGGCTACTAGGCACCAAAAAATAAAATTTAAAAAAAGAAAAAAAAAGAAAAAAAAAAGAAAAAAATGAAGTTGGTATTTGTTTCTCTTATGTAACATCAACAACAGTGAGAGAAATTGAAGAACTTAACTGGATGAAATAGGGTAATACATGCGAGCAACGCCGAGAGGCGCAGCGAATGTGATATTTCCGGTGGCAGGAGGCTGAGCCACGAAGATGATCAAGGGAGACTTGGTTATGGAGTCTTTGAGGTTGTCAAGAACCCACATGAGAGCATAGTGACTGCAATCGCTTTCATCAATGGCCATCATCACCTTCTTGTCAGTGCCAGTTCCGTTTTCCATTGCCTCAGCCATTGTCTTGGGTTTTACAAAACAGGGCAGATAATTTGCAGTGGTTGGAAAAAGCAGAGAGTGCTCTCTCTATTTATCAGATATTTTGGGAGTTTATGGGCTCAACAGAAGCTCTTTCTCCTGTTTTATCAAAATGGTAGTTGAAGAAAACAGGGGGCGGGCTTTCATAGGTCGTAACTGCCAGTCAAACATTAAGTCTCCACATGAAAGGAACTGGATAAGTTCGCTTTCTTCTTTTTATTGCTCATCTTCTTTGGGTCGGTGGGTTGGTTTACTCTACTCATATAAATTCAATTCCGTGACGCCTCGTTTTTATCTTATTGGGAAATTTTCCGCGAATTTCTTTTGGGCCACTGTTATTTTCACACTCCCATCCCAGGGTTAGTATTGATTGTTTTGGTTACTTAAGATTTAAGCTGCCATAATCAAAATCTAATCCATTTTGTTTTCCAGTGGGTTGGTAATCCCCTCCCATCCCACTATCCCATCCTCTGTAGCAGATAATGATCTCTCACCAAACCATGGACCTTAGTTAACAATGGTTTGGGTTGTGAAGTCAACTCATGCTGTAAATTTGTCATTCATAGTTGATTCTGGAATGGTTCTTTCAACTGTTTATGCTCAAAATCCCAGAATCTTCCTTTTCTCTCAGATGTTTCATATCAAATATTTGGTTCTTACTTCTTAGTGGACAAAAACACGCAAGCGAGCCACTTCATTTGCATATGGCTAGGAGGAGGAAAAAAAAGACTGTCTGATATAGGTGAAGACATTAGGATTAATTGTATCAGATAACTATGTAGGAGCTGTAAATTTGAAACCTCTAAATCATCCAAACTATAGCCACTGGATCAAATCTTAAAACTGAAGCAGAATTAACTAATTTTTGCTTTATTCAATCATAGCTTTTATGTTTCGACAGGACTTTTATTTCAATCACACCAAGCAACATATGAAATGAAAAGAACAACTTTTTTCCTTCCAGGATATGCAAGTTAAAGTTGATTTAATAAAAATCACTTGTAGAAATAAACATTCCCCGGACCTGGATCGAGCATCGAGCATATAGCAGAAGAGTTTTCATTCCTGTTTCCTCACAACAAGAACAGGACACTTAGCATTGTGAACACAGTAGTTGCTTACGCTTCCCAGCAAAGCCCTGTCCCAAGTCCCCAACCCCAACATATATGAATTAGAAGAATTCCCAAATGCAACAACAATGACTTGTATTTCAGAAAGCTGAGGCACTCAAAATTGAATGACAACAACAAAGAACACCATGGAAAAAGTATTATACCAAAGCTGCAAGTTGTTTGATCATCATCAACAAGAAATAAGGGGTAAATGTAAATGGAAAAGCAGAGCATACCTTTTTACAGCTCCCCGGCCGTGGCTGCCCAATACAAGTAACTTGATGTTGTGTTTCTCCACTGCTTCACATATTGCCTCTTTAGGATCCCCAACCTCAGTCACTGCCTCTGCAACAATCTGTATGTACCAAGAAAGACTTCCTTGTAGCTTAATTGTGATTTATGTCTAATCCATTTTAGCACCGAAAGGAAATTAAATAAAATAAAATTCAACCAGTATCTTAAGAATCAAAATAACATATTTTTACAGAATCTAGAATGAAAAATCTACTAGACATAGGCCCTGTTTGGTTCACGTAACGGATTTGATGGGAAATCACTTCCCATGTCATTTCCTAAGGAATTGAAAATGGAGATTCCTCTCCCAAGTTTGGTAATTCTGGAAAATGAATCAAGAAATACCACTTTATTTCCTTTCACATCTTTGGTTTGTATATGAATGTAAAAAAAGTTTGTTTAATTTTTCAATTATACACATATAAAATCAAATAAAAAAAGAATGCATTGAATATATTGTAATTCTAAATTGTTAATGGGGATAATATGGTCATGAAAAATGTGTATTTAATGTTGGCTCATTTTCCTAAACCTTCCCATTATGAGGAAAACAAAACCCAAAGCCCGGTTTGGTTCATGGGAAAGGAGACTTAGGGATGAAAAATCAATTGTTTTTCCATGTTTGGTAAGTCCAGATATGAGAAATGGTTGTCTGGCACATGGGGAAGTAGGGGAAAAGTGAAGCCCTTTTCTCAACTTGGGTTTTGTTTTCCCTCATCATGGGAAAGTTTGGGAAAATGAGCCAACATTCAATGTATATTTTTCATGACCATTTTGTCCCTATGAACAATTTAGAATTACAATGTATTATTAAATGCATTTTTTTATTTGATTTAATATGGGTATAATTGAAAAATTATGTGAACTTTGTTTTCTATTCCTACTCAAAACAAACATAGGAAAGAAAACAAAGTGAAATCTTTCGGTTACTTTCCCGACATTATCAAACGTGAGAAATGAATCTTTCATTTCTCATCCTTTGAGAAATGAATCTTTCATTTCTCATCATTTGAGAAATGAATCTTTCATTTCTCACAAGTGATTTTCCCTCAAATTCATTATGTGAACCAAACGAGACCCACGAGTGGAGGAGGGCTTCACTTTCCCCCTTACTTTCTCATGTGCAAGGCAACGATTTCTCATGCCTGGACTTACCAAACATGACAAAACAATTGATTTCTCATCCCCAAGCCTTCTTTGTCATGAACCAAACGAGGCCAAAAAGTAAAAAAAAAATAAGGAGATCTTTAGTCATATACCCATTCTTAGCACTAATAATATAAATAAATCATACACTATTTAATTTATATAAACAAACAAACAAACAAAACTCAAAAAATGACAACTGGCCATATTGAATTTAATTTTGATTATTAAATTACTTTGATGTCACATTGAGTGTTTTGGGTTTTTTTATGAGGTTTTGAGGTTTGACTTGTTTTAAGAAATCAGTTGCAGTTTTGTAATTTATAAGAAGTTAAAATGCTCTTTGTTATGTTGATTTCTATAAACAAGAAGTTAAAATGCTCTTTGTTATGGCAGTTTTGTAATTTCTATAAACAAACAAAAAAACTCATAAAAAGTTAAAAGGCTCTTTATTATATTGTAAATACTAAATAGACTTTGGGTGTGTTTCTAAAGTCCATTGCATATATATATTTTTTATAATTTAGACCCCTATATTGAATTTAATAATGAATCTCCCAAAAATAAAAAGAGTTAAGAAACTGTACCCCATGGTTGGCGCAGATGCCTTTAGCTTTGTCTAATAAAGCCAATGCGAACTTCTTGTGGTTTGCTAGGATGGATTCTATCAACTCAGGAGCTGCATAATTCATAGAGAAAGAAAATTAGAAATCGACAGACAGGTGTCTAGCGTATAATTGTAACTCAAGTTGAATAATTACTGAGAAATTATTTGATAAAAGTATTTGATTGAAGCTGAAACAGGGAGATTAGAGGCCGTACGGGCAGCACCCAAACTGGAAGCATAAGTGTAAGCAAAATCACTGTTGGTGGGCTGCGCAGTGAACACAAGAAGCTCAGAATTGCGTATGGTGTCGGCCAGGTTTTCAAGCGCCCAAGTAAGCGAGTAGTGACTAGACTCGCTCTCATCAATTGCCACCATCACCTTCTTCTTCTCCTTCTTTTCCTGCTCCATCTTCTCTCTCTCTCTCTCTCTCTCTCTCTCTCTATATATATATATATATATATATGTATTTATTATTATTTTCTTTTCTTTGTAGGCAAAGCAGAGCACGTCTTGCTGTGCATGCCTTCTTCGTGGCCATTTAAGGACGACTTATCTTCTCTATGTGCCAACTCCTAAAGTCCTAACTAACAATCAAACTACAACGAGGCACACGTGTTGTCGTACTAATCTAACTTTTTTGGTGCCGCTTGCCCCAAAACAATTTTCATCAATATTGCTTGATGTTCCGTGTTTGGTGGGATTTTTTGCGAAGCTCATCAAGATGCTTGAACAACCACCACATAATACGATCCTTTCTGCTCAGACAACAAGAAGTGATTAATCATAAGCCAGGGTTTAATCATTCAATTAAATTCGACGCTATCATAGTTACCTTTCAATTAAAATCATAAGCCAATCATGAATCTTATAAATACCTCATCTCACATACATTCCCTACTTTTCTCTTAAACTGGAAATTGTTAAGTGGTTGCTTGTTTGCGTCCTACAGATTATGACCGGACAAGTTTGATGAATTCTATAAAAGTACTTGTTTACATCTTTGACATTAATAAAAACTTTGTTAAGGTGTAATTTGTGACTGAAATCTCTTCTTCCTCCTCCATGTCCCTGGTGCAAGCGGGAAAAAAGATATATATATCCAACTGGAGCTGTAGTAATGGAATCTTTCCCACCAACTCCATGTTGCAGGAAAATCAGTTAAGACTCCTCGTGACGAAGAAATCGAACAAATTTAGATTTCACCTCCGGTGGGATACGGACAGGGCGATAGCTTTTGTCAAGCCACACTGCTGTGGCCTTTGCTTCCAATATAGGCTGTTCAGAGAGTATTATGAGAGAGAGGATCACTCTGCGTCAAGACAACTCCTTTAATAATGAATGGAGTGCAAATTTTTAGGACTGACAAATAACAAACCTCTTGATTTGGCAGCTTGAAAATAAAGTGATCAAAGTACAAGCGAGCGGCTGAGGAACCAGAGAGCCTGACCTTTATTACAAACTTGTCTCCACTCTAGTAGCGCAGACCATGTTAACAGAAACAAGGATGGTTTTCACCATCAGTGGTACAATCATGCATACCGGAGTAGAATAAGATTATTTTTTTTCAACATTCTGATTTGTGTGATGGCATATGCTGAATGAAAAAATGTTTGAAACTTAAGAGATCCAAATGTAAATATGGAGACATACTCGGAGTGGCGCAAGGAATTTGAGTGACAATTCTGACAATGCTAATGCGTCACCAGTGCGGGCAACTGCATCAGCGCTGATGCCAACCCTTTCCAGAAGTTCATGACGACCTGATCAAAATATTGAAGCAACAACATCTCAGTTAGTTTGATGGAGTTGTAAAGATTGAAAAGCTGCGATCTTTTTAACTCTAACTCATTGCAGGTTTCATGTATAATAACACCATGGATTCATTTCCCATGAGAAAATCCTATCACCTCTGCAGTAACATGATCTTTCGAAGCAGGAATTGATTGGAAGAAGCCCAAGTAACATCATTTATGAATAGCTGATGTATGAAAAGGAAAGAAAATGTTCAAACATCATTTATGAAGGATTACTGAACAAAAAATTCCAATCTAAATGCAGTATCAATATAACTATTGAAATAATATAATCAAAGTGAGTGATTAAGCATTCCATCAAATTTGTAAAAAAAATTGGGCATCCTTATACACCCTGATGCAGGCAACACCAGATGGAAGTGTTAGCATGAACTGAAAGCCACAGTCGCATATAGGTTGGGTTGGGTGCGACATTTAAATCTAGTCATGAAATGAAATTTTGGATGAGCCAATACATTTGAGGACCTTAGAATTTAGTACAATCAAAGCCTACAAGTAAGCTTGCATCATAAACTCTGTTGAAATTCAAGGCCTTTCAGATTGTACAAATGTTTAACCATATATAATTCAGACAAGAATAAAAGCAGCAGTCTTACCATGCTGGCAGTAACTTGCATAAACAGCATTGTTAACGACGCCATATTGATCAAGTTCATAATCGCGGACTTTGAGCTCAACATCAAGAAACTCACTCATTCTGCAAGGTGCAAAAAGGAGAAGGCTTTACTTTACATATTAAAATTCCTTCAGACACCGGAACCCAACACCTAAAATCCCTTCTAAGGAAAAAAAAGACAAATTTAGGTTACGTTATACAATTTTGATCTGACAACTATCAACAAAACCATGAATTTTCATATAACAATTGCAATGGGGATATAACGATTCATGAAGAGGACCAAAATTGACCAAGAAATTGAATGTAGTAAGCAAGTAAGTACCCTTTTCCACCTTTGAAATCGAATGCGAGGGTGGTACAGCTCCTAACGGTGGGGAGTGATCGGAGACGTGGCCGGGTCGTCGGAAAAGAAATTGACGGACGGTGGAGATGGAGCGACGTACGGGTGACACGTGAGGATGGGAGGGTCACGTGAGTGCGGTCGGCAACTGAAGATGCACGCAGGCTCTGCAACTGCAACAACATCCCTGCTGAGTGCTGAGAGAGCAGAGACCAGAGACCAGAGACCAGAGACCAGACACGGAGGAGTCAGTCAGCGTAGTTGGGGATTTTGGGAGTTTTTGTTGGAATTAGTGGGGCGTTAGAACCGAGGCCGAAATCATGAATTTTTTAATGAGTGGACTAATTAAAGTTATTGGCTTAAAATTTATACAAATTTATAAATAAACCCAATCCTAGACATGTATTTATAAAAAAACTCAAGCACTATTTAAACATAGAAACACACCCAAAATCAACCCCAAAGTCAACTTTTTGGGTGTGTTTATAAATGGGTTTTGAGTGTGTATAATGATGGGTTTTGGGTGTGTTTATAAAGTGTTTTGGGTGTTGGGTTTTTTTATAATTTCAACCTCCATTTTGGGTGTTTTAGTGAAACTCCCTAAAATTTAATGATAATTTTTTTTTTATACTTTATAGTTTTTCTAGAAATAAAATATATATTAAAACATATAAACCATTGCTAGTTTATAGCTTCATTGACTAATTTCTAATAAGCTTTAACATAAAATAAATACATGTGAAATGCCTCAAAAACACACATCGTATCAAAATGAAAATATATTCAATAACATAATTGAAATTGTACATATTCAAGTTGTGCCCTATGATCCTTAGAAGATTGAAATCTTTTGTTATTGTGTATAAATCGATATTGTCAACAAATTCTTTTTCAATGTAGACTGCTATAAACATATTCTTCATATGAACCGCACAAACCCCACTCTTTGGACTACCTAATTGAAAAGAGTGTCGTTAATATTGACCACAAAAAAAAAAAATGAAAAAAAATGAAAAAGGTAGAAAGTTAAAGTCATGTGTGTTTACTAAAAGATTATTTCTTAATTGAGCAAGAAAATTAATCTAAAATCACATTAAAATATATTTATTATATTTTAATTTTCAAAAAAGGCTATCTAGGCTGGAGCCCATGGTAGCCTTTAATTTGGTTCCGTCGGTTGTTAGAACCATAGTCTAAAATATTGATAATATCGATGAAATATTGAGGATATTATCGTTTTTTCAGGTCAAGAATATTTCGGAACATATCCATAAACATATCGAAAAATATCGATGTCTATAATTTCGCTTACACTTCAGCAATATTTTGTCAAAATATCGCTATAATATCGAAAATATCAATGTAATGAAAAAAAAAAAAACACAAAGCGCGCATGCAAATGAGATTCAAACCCTTGCCATTTCACTCCTCTAACACCTTAACTACCATGTTGCTTATGTTTTTGTGATAATATGCAAATGGGAACTTTATATGGTACTAAGTCACTCACGTATCTTACCATGTAATATATAAAGTGTAAAATATTATAGTAAATCATTATATATAAAATGATTATGGTGTATTTAATTTTCTTTCATTAATTATTACATATTTTGTACACTCACAATATTTGTCAGCACACTATATAATCAACTTAAATAAATTAAACCCATTATGCAATGCATTTCTTTCCAATTTTTTGTGATAAACTAATAGATAATTGATTAAATAAACATCCTCCAAAGTTAAAAATAAAAAATAAAAAAAAATTCAAGTTTTTCTTACAACTTTCGTGATTTTTATTCAATTTTTATCGATATCGATAATATTCCGATATTTCCATTGAAATTTCCTTATTTTGGGACTACCGATATTTCCGATATAATCGATATTTTAAACTTTGGTTAGAACCCATGCAATTCACACACACGAGACACGAGAAAAGACACAAAATTCGAAGAAGAAAAATGGAAAACAAAAACAATATGGAAGGGCTTATTGGGCCAGAATCCTTTTGGTGAAACTTGGGTTGGGTCCGTATTTGAGATTGGATCAAAATCCTAGTCTCAGTTAAACTCTTGATCTTTTTGAGACCAAATGCAACCAAATGGTCTTCATTTTTAAATTATTCATTATGTATAATATTTTTTGAGGTACATATGCCTAATCAATTTGTCCCACCCAGCTCAACTTAGCTGAGGGTCACTGAACCTGGCCATTGAGGCATTGAGCGTTGTAGGTGTAAAAGGGGGTATTGTCCCCCTACCCTCCAGGAAAAGGTCATACGTACCCACAAGGGAGCTTCTACAATGAGGAGTTAAAGTGAGGAGGTTATTTGAGGAGACCGATCCGACCGTCAAAACATTTAAAATATTTAAGTCCCATGATTTCTTTACATTTGTTGATGGTGAGATTTGACATCCTCAAATAACCTCCTCACTTTAAGCCCTCATTATAACCTTTCCGTACCCACAATACACCCCAACAATCTATAAGTTTAGATAATGGGCCTAGCTCTTGTTTAATATAGTGATCAAGGAGGGACCCATGGCTAATGGTTCTTCCTCTCTCTCTCTCTCTCTCTCTCTCTCTCTCTCTCTCTCTGAGCACTTCAAGTCTTATTGAGCTCAGTGTCCTTAATTATAAGGGCTAAGGAAACCCACATAACAGATATATCACTATAGTCCCTCCAACCCCTTTTTTTGTTTTTTTTGGTCAAATCCTCCAACCCTTATGAAGGATGCAATGTACCTGTACTCTTGATTCAATTAATTTAATATAATTATTAGAAGAAACTAATTAATATGCTCAATCTTTTGATGATCATTAATTAGTAATGGTGATACTACTGATACAAGTTACAGCAGTAGAAATACAATCCTCTGTTAATATTACTGCAGCTATAATTAATTAATTATAATACAATAATAGTATAAGAATCCTATGCAAGCAACTATGCGCAAGAAAAGAGAAGAGAGTATTTTATTATAATGGGATGAGGAGAAGATGAGAGATGGCATTGATCTTGTGTTTGATTGTGGCTATAGCCTATAGGATAGGAGCATGGGATGTGAATATTGAAGTCTCTCATCAACTCAAATAGGCCATGTTGAGTTGTTGTTGTAATTAGAAAGCCCTCCTCCATACCCTTCTGATCTTACCATCTCTTCTTGTACCTCCCCATATGCATTATTTGTCCCCTGCAACATCATTAGCCATTCCATATTGCTCGCCTTTATCAGTTTCAACTTCAACATACCCATTCGTTCATTCATCACACAGTATATTTATATCATAATTATAAGACAACATATGAATAATCATTATCTAATTACTTTTAAAGATGAAAAGCAAAACAGTGAAAATTCATACCTGTTGCTGCATTGTGTCCAGAGCATCCACACCTGGTGAATTGAAATCGTAATACACGCTTGCTGCAGAAAGCTTCATAGAGAGAAACTTGGAAACAGCAAAACAAATATATCATTGGACATGAATCATGATAATTATTATTTATGAGAAATCTCCATCATATATCATATGGTTATATATATATATATATATATATAAATGGCTCACCTCAATTTGATTTTGCAGTGACTGAACGTAACTGATAACCACATCCAGCATTACTGCCATTCCCATAGTCTGCAAATTAAATTAACCATACAAAAACAATATAATGATTGACTGCTCTTAAAACAATAATTCATCACTTTGCTTTGTAGTTCAAGGCAAGAACATTATCACTTCACCTACCTTGTAGCATCCCGGGACAAGATTTTGCAGGCATCTCAGCCTCTCATTTATCTTCTCTCTTCTTACCTACCATGTTGAACAATTTGCTTCAAAATTTGGATTTGAAAATTCACAAGACAAGTACTTCTAAAGCACAAATTCTATCGATCAGGTAACAGGATTGTTTTCATCTGCTCATGACCACATAGCTAGCTAGTAGAATTGAAAGAATTTAAATATATATACACAATACCCTTTCTGCCAAACTGTGGCTATCAGTAGCTTGGCCTCTCTTAGCTCTCACATGGATGACTTCTTTTAGTTTCTCCCCATCTTTGTCAATATTGTTTCTCTTTCTCTTTCTTCCTCCTAAGGGCTGCTAATATTTACCGAACGAAAACAAATTCAGAAAATCAATCTAGCTTCCTATAAACCAGAGAGATAACAAGACAAGAGCAACATTACCTTTCCCTTTTCGCTTTCTTGGGCAAAATCTCCAGTCAGAGATGTGGAGTGAGCAACTAAGACATCGTGATTTGGATCATCAGAATGGGAAAAGCTTTGAATATTGTCTTGAATGAAGTTCAGAGGGAGCTGGTTAGTTTGTCGCTGATGATCGCTAAAACTCATGCCATTGGAGAGAGCCATGATTTCATGATGATTGGCGCTCAGATTCTCCAACTCACAAAGATTGTCTATGAGTTCCATGCTTCAACTTCCAGTCGTCTTCAGAGAAATTTGAGGTTTTGCATGCCTTTAGTAAACTTATCTACCTAGGCAAATGAGAGACAGATCGAGTTTATAGAAATTGAAGTACAAGAGCAGAATAATTATACGTACAGATTTTCATTTCAGTTATAAGTTGACTTTGTATCCTCTGATCTTTCTCTGTTTTTATTTTTATTTTTTTGGTTTGTAAATATCCTCATTCAGTCGATATATCGACCTGGTACGTGGGACCATGCACCAGTTTTGAGGGTGAATTATGCAAAATTTGGTATTTAATTTGGTGTGATTAATTATCTTTATTTTTTGTTTTGTTTAGTTTTTGGTTTTTGATGGGAACATATATCTTCCTTTATGGATAATGATGATCTTACCACAAATCGCATACATAGGCTTTTCACTTCAACACCCTTCAATCAAAGCTTGTAAAACCAAATATAAAGATTGACCTTAATTGGTGTGCTCACAATCTAAACTACCCATGAAAATGTTGACTCTAAACTTTCTAAATGTGGAGCCTTGATTTCTCTATTCCAAATGCACGTTGAAATCCCATACCGACCTATATTCACAACCCCCATCCCCCTCAAAACCCCAAATTGGGCATTCTGATCTGCCATGCATGCTTTGCTTGGCAAGTTGGCTTTTTTTGCGCCTCTTGAAACTGTTTCTTTTTCAAAACCTAGAATATGTAGCATCTTAGAGTACAAATTAAGTACCGTTTATGTGTTGATCTTCAGCATAATAAGTCTTTGATTCTTATGCCCTTGTAGTATTATTGTGGTAGCTGCCTGCCTGATTTTGAATTAGGTTAGGATGTATTCTAGCTATGCCAAATTATATACCCTTTAATGCTTGGAACCAGAATGTGGTTATGGTTTACAGATTTAATGGTATCTTTGCCATATAAGGTGAAATGAGACTGTCACCATCCTCATCCAAATTATTTTGAAGGTGCATCACAAATGGGCTGTTACCGACTTTAAGTACTTGTTTAGTCCTTGATTCATATAATTAAATATTTTCAATTCAGAGAGATGGGAAAAGATTAATGTTGGAACTTGTTGAAAGCTCGAACAGTTGTTATATTCTCATAAGACCTATACTTAATTTATCCAATGCAATTAGGTGTACATAAACCAGTTTAGTATTGTTGCGTTGCGTATATACGTGAAGTCTGCTTTTGTCCCATTCCTACGTGCGAATGCTTCTAAAACAATACATTTTGCTCTTAAGAAACGCACACTTCAATTTTGGTAGCCCAAATTGGTAGGCAGGTAGTGTTTTAGGGTTCTCCTTCGGTCACAAAATTAAAATTTATAATCAAATATTCATCTCAGCAGCAGCCTGCATGATGTACAGATAGATCGATCGTGACAAAACCTGGGGTTTAGTCAGTGGGGTATAGCTTAGTTGGTCGAAAGTTCTAAACACCGAATAAATATTTGTGTAAATTCTCCTCCCACAATTGCTTGTACTAAAGAAAAAAAAAACTTGGGTTTAATTCAAGAATGAGATAAAGGTCATCATAATGGATTTGGTCACCTATGTTATTGAATTCCTTGGTGGTAAAAAGTATAGGCTTGAGTTCGGGTCTAATGAGAATGGGCTAGCAAGATGTTTTCAGCCCAATACCTAAAGCCACTCTTACAACGGCCCAATAATACACAGTGTGTACATTACTACAACCGCCAACAGGCTCAAACATTAGCAGAGTCCAAATGGCAGGCCCAAATTTTATATGCTTTTTGGAATACATGAGCTGAGATGAGAGTCTAATTGAAGTGACTCAATGATGGTGGCGGTGAAGTCAAAATTGGACTTACGATGCTGAATTCTGTTTTTCGATCATATATTCCATACTAGTTCAGCAGATGATGAGGTCAGGGATTTGTTCCAAAAGTGCAAAGCTACACGCCAAAACACATGATCAACTTCAGCAGCATCATATACCACATCGAAATTCTTCATATAGCCTAGCCTTAGCCTAAACTTATAGTTCAAGAGCCCTAAAGTATTTTTCTTCAAAATTATTGGTAAAAGGAACTTAATTTTTATTCTAATCGCATCCACTCTTTTGTTTGCTATTTATTCAGGCTGTGAAAAGATATGATCAAATCAAACGGCATTATCCAGTTGTCCAATAAATTCATCAATTCATCGAATGATTATTAAGAATATAGTCTCCTTTCATTTTGAGATGATGCTTTCATTGAACTTGGACGAAACAAAAGAATTTGGAGTTAGCCTTTATATTAGGTGTATGCTCTGTGTGATCAGTTGTTGTCAGCCTCAACTCAACCTGGTTCCTAATTATGAGGCAACCCGGTTCCTAATTTCTTCTTGGTTAATTATGAGGCAACCGGGTTCCTATTTCTTCCTGGTTTATACATTGCACTTGGATAATGGACAAAATTAAAAGGACATTGGTGCAACTACAATGCTGGACAAAGCAAAACTAGAGCCACTAAAAACACTTGAAAACGTTGTTGGGGTGGGGATCAAAATCAACATTGTTGTTGAACAAAAATGAAGCATTCATTCTGCAGATTAACATAATCAAGCGCAAATGATTAGCACCCCACTACATAAACACGCGTGCCTCCATTCCATTGGATCATTGATGGCCATTGTCGTTTACGTTCAGTTCAAAATTTCATTCTAGCTAGCTAGCTGCACACACAACACAATAACAATAATTGCATGAAATTTTTCGTGTGGAAAAATGGAAAAAGAGATATCTGATGCTTCTGTCCTGTGAGTCTACCTATCCCATATCAGTTCACATGATGATGAGCAGGAGGAGTCTTCAAAGTCGTTTAGATGTTTCAAAAATAGGTAATCTATCTCCGTTGATACAGCCATTGACTCAAATATGGAAACCTTTATCTTCCAATAATTGATTCTCACTGCCTTTGAATCTATGCAATCCTTTAAGCAATTCCTGGTCCCTCCCCACCCAACGCCCCACCACCCTTGGCCACTTCCCACTTTCAAACCTTTTCCT